CTTGCCAGGCAGGTGCTTATCCTACTGAGCTATCTCCCTGGGCCCAGATCATACTTACATTTACAGGTTTAAAGATACAAATGAACATCTACATGGCAAGGCACGTAGGGAGAAGCTGGGCCAAAATGCCTGGAGTATGCGACTTCAAGGGGAGAAGTTTATTTTGGCTCATGGTTTCAGAGGTTTTGGTGCCTGGTGGCTGCTCCAGGGCAGGAACATCGTGGTGGAGGAAAGGTGCTCACCTCATGGCAGTCAGGAAGAGAGAGGAAAGAGCCAGAAAGAAAGGGCCTGGGACCAGAGTGTCCTGAGACATGACTGTGCAACTCCATTAAGCTTGGGCTCACCTCCTAAATTACGATTGCCTCCCAATAATGTCACTAAATTATGATTTTATCAATGGTTTAACACATTCTGTTAGGGCCCTTACAATCCAACCACCTTCTAAAAGCCTCATTTGTGAGCTTTCAGAGGACACTTTAAATCTAAACAACAGGTGCCATCCCCAAACTGCCACAGGCAGAAGCTCCATCCCCACAGAGCTGGCCTATGTGCGTCCACCAATATGGAGCTCTCTCAGCATCGCTGCCCTGAGCTGTTACAGCCAACTCCTGGCCCCTTCTGGTCCATTATCCAGAGGCCGGCGGGTGGAGCTAACATTTCCAACCTTCCAATCTGTGTCTTTTTGGTGAAAAGCTGTATTCTAATAAGCCTATCTAGGGCCACCTCATTAGCATAAGTGGATATGAAGGCAGAAGGCTCCCTGGGAATAACATAAGGCATGCTAAAACTCAAATTCAGAGCAGCTCTATGCCAGGACACACAGGTTTTGTTGTTTTGTTTTTTGCTATGAGGAAAGTGCTTGTTCTCACCATGGGAATCAGGACTAACTGACATCATAACGACCTGGAAACCCAACCTCCAGTCTTGCCAAGTCAACACTGTCATGGACTGACCTAGAGACTCAACATTAGGGCCTCCCAGAGAAAGGAGAGACGGGACACAATGCTCTGGAAACAGGAGTGTCTCCACACATGCTGCAGCCCAGACAGGCTTCGTCACATTCAGGTCAAATGCAAAGTATAGTCCCGAGGCGGCCTAACCCTTGTCCCCTGGAAGTCAGCAGGCCACAGTGTCTCTGGCATGTGCACCACTCCTCCAATCATTCACACTCCTGCACACCCCAAGGAACTGTCATATCCCTAAGCACAAGAAGAAGGTGAATGTGAAGAGTACCCTAACCAAAGGTGCTGAAAAAAGGTGATAAGCAAGCTCCCGACAGCAGAACACCCCCAACGGGCTCTCCCAGCTAACAGTGCCCCATGAGGCTGGGTGGTATTTCTGATCATCAGTGAACAACAAACCTATGCTCAGGAATAAACTATGCCCAGGAGAGAAGCTCAGGGCCAGGACCAGCTCCCAGATGTTCCAATGAGTAGCACCATCTCCAGTAGCAGCCCTGACTCCTCTGTGAGCTGGCTCAGCACCGCAGATTTTTAGTCTCTGGTTCATAGTCCCAACCCCTGCTCCAGGGCATGACCCAGGACATCAGTCTGTGGCTCAGGCCCAGGCTTTCATGGATCACAGAGAGGGCATGACCCACCTCTGGTCTCTGGAGGTTCACAATCCTGTAGTGCAGCCAAGATCTAACTCCTCCCAATACCTGCCAGGAGAAGACACAGTCCTGAAAGACAAGTAAGTGCCACACATGGGCAAGTGAGGCCATGTCTTCCACCTTCATTGCAGAGACCAGAGCTGGTGACAGGTCCAGCTGAGGGTCTTCAGTCCCACCCAGGT